GGGGGTGTTCCTGCCCTCCGCGAGGGTCGTGGGACCTGAGCGAATACGTGGAAACGCAGGGTGAAGAATGAATACAGTCGAGAGGCTTTTCAACCTGCTCTGCTGTCCGGCTATGCTCTCCAGCTTCTGCTTCCTCTTCTCTCTGCTGTCTGTCCTCTGCCTTCTTCCTCCTAGCTCTGTCTGCTCTGCTAGTTCCTTCTGCTTCCTTCTCCTTTCTTCTTCCTTCTGCTCGCCCAGCTCAGCCAGTCTTTATTTTTTACACTTAAAATTACACAGTACATGCATTGACACTTTTATCATTTCTTGAGTTATTACACAGTCACAATATTCTTGCACCTGGTCCTTAGACAACCTGAACACAAATACTTCTGTGATGTTCAGACTGCCCTTCATGTTCTTTCCCAGGATGAGAGAAAACTGTTTCTTCTTGTTTCTACTAAAAGACTATAAACTTTCTATCCTACATAATGTGCTATTAGTTTCATAATAAGGGTATTCATTAAATCACTTGGAAGCTATGTGGCATAAAGCTCAACTTGGCTACTTACTGCAAGAAGTGTAAACTATAAAGTCAAAACTATTCTTCATTTAAGTTCCTTATTGTCTGCTTATGTACGCAGGTGTTTGTATGTAGGGGTTTGTGAATTCTAGCTAGTGACTGAGTGTGGTGAGGTTTGTGGGGGTAGGTTAGCTTGACTCTAATATGCTATTTGCTTTTGTGGCCTCACAAATGCAGTTACTTAGGGTTTCTATGAGAAGGAGTAATTTATACAATTTCTCTTTGTATTCAATCCACCAAGGCTGAAAGCAATTGCTGCTCAGCTAGTTTTTCCTAAGGTTTGTAGAACTCATAGTGAAAGTTGAGAATATCGCCAAATTATATATATATATATTTATAAGTAAAATTAAGATTACTCTATAGAGAAGGTAGAAAGCAACTTCTGAGAGCTATCTGTTTCGTCAGACTACTCTACTATTTACTGGACTGTGTCAAGCAGTAAATCGAAGCTGTCCTCTACCCTCATGGACCACTCCCAGCAATTTCTTACATACATAGTCTTTGGATCTTTTTCTACTTGGCCTGTTTTCACAGTCTTTCAGAGTTTTCAGGTCTGTACAGAGTCTCCTCCTTGGTCATGCTGACTGAGAACATGAACTACATGTTGCGTCAGGGAGAGCTGCCACAGGTCTGAGCAGTGTTTAACCACTGTGATAGGATACAAGTGTAGGTTGTGCCCCATTGCCTCCTAAACAGTGCCACAGGGAACATCTTAGTGCAGGTACCAAGTGCTTTCTTTCCTAGGTGGATTCCTAAAGGTGGAATTGCTAGACTCTTTAGCTAGGGATTGAATTGTGTTTCTCAAAAATATGTAAATGAGCCCCAGTGGCCTCATAGGTTGTCGTTGGCTCATCACCAGCCACTCCATGGAAGAAAGATGAGGCTGTCTCCTCCCATAAAGCACCCTGTGGAGCAGTTCTCCTGTGTCCTATGAGTCCGAATGCACTCTGCAGCAATGGAGCTAGCTGTGGTTTTGAGACCTGCTTTCCCTGGACTCGGCTGAGGAAATAGCTGGGAAGCAGAGCATTATTTCTTAGAGGCGAGTGCATCAGGGAAGGTTCATGGCCTTAGAGTTGAGTCTGGAGGAAAACCCAGAAAGATCCCCAACCCCAGCCAAGAGTCCTGCCTGCCATCAGAAAGGGGGGCTTTACAGGGGAAGCAGTGGGGGGGATCAGCTGAGTCAGAACTTCCCCCTTAAGACTGTGAGGGCAGACAAGTGGCAAAGTCTAGTTTGTGTTTAGGGAGGGTTGTAAGGGAGGCCAGTGCGGAAGGATGCTGATGAAGGTCCTTTGGGACAAGGTGGGAAGGAGGAGGGCAGGCTGAAAGGAGACAGGACAGCTCCTCCCTGTGCAGCCAGGAAGGAAGAAGGCTCTTAGCCTTGGGGCTATAAGAGGGTTCCTGAAGGCAGATGGAGAACCTGAATCTTAAAGCCCTGAGTCTCCTTCAGTTACTTACAGGACAGAAAGCATGTCTTTAGAATACCAAGCCTAGAATGACAAGCTGAGTTAAGGAATGGTTAATGGTTACACATAATGATTGGTTGGGAGTATGCTGCAGGACTGGGTGGTGATTGTATACGCTGTCCAGTCTGTTCTGACCCATAGCAACTCTATATAGGGTTTCTGAGGAGCAGTTGATGAGTTTGAACCACTGACCTTGTGATTCAAGCAATTTTGTAGTCCAGTGCATTAACCCACAGCACCTTACCAGGACTCCAATTTTGTCTGTAGGTTTGTTATGAGTAGAAACCAACTCAGTGGCCCTTAATAACCATGGTGACAATCGTGTGGACGGTTCTGCCGTGTAGTTGTCTGTTAGGCAGGATGAGCACCTTCTGACCACTGTCACAGCTCTCTCTTAACAGTTACTTCGCTATGACTAGTTTCCTCATCTTGAAAACTCTAACTCTGTTAACCCTTTAGGAATCTTCTGTGCAGGGAGGGAGTGCTCAGTCATTGTCTCCAGGCCTCCCTCCTGCTGGGACTCTTCCGCCTTGGTTTCAATAAGGACCATTGGCTAAGAGCCCCATTGGGAATGAGAGCTACAGTGGCTCTCCTGGGAGACAGGCCTGTCACAGACACTGAATGTTAGACATGCAGGGTGGTGCTACAGTCTGTTTTCAAGTATTTCAGTTGGTTAATGGCAGTTTAATTTAAGAAAAGAAAAAGTATTGAGCGGCATCCAGTCAGCAACTGCTCCAGAATCCCCCAAACAAGTGTGAGATTTCTATTCACAATAAGGATGTGTTGGTTGAAGAGGAAGGTGTGAACCCTACAGACCGGTTGCTCTTTCTGTCACTCACCCGTTACACTATGTTTTTGCCTCTGCCTAATCCCACGCTCCCTCCTAGCCTGACACAAGTGTTCACTTACCCAGCTAGCCCTGCTTCAGTCTATACCACATCCTCTGTGCTTGACTGAGGCATCAGAAGGTAGTGTCCCTGCCAGCCTCTGGGCACCCCAAGAGGACACCCTCCCATAAACAGTGAAGGAGACTGTCACAGCTCTGTAAGAAAACAAGCACACCTTCCTCGTCGCACCCATGTGTCTCCACTGCTGCGTGGCCTGGCTGTCCTGTTGGTGTGTCCCCTGGTGTCAGTGCCTGTCCATTTATGTCCATGAGGGCATGAGGCATCCCTTCTCCCTCCAGGCCCCTGAGACATGGGGTTCTGCCATTGTTGGGCCTTTGTGCCTCCACACTGTGGCTGTGGCTGTTCTTCGGTACGCCTTCAAATACTGAGGCCTCCGCACAGCAGCATTTGAGAGCCCCTTGTTGTACAGTTTCCCTGCGTTTTCCTTGTACTTGAAAATGTATGTTTGTGGTGGAGGGGGTCAGTGTGAGGTGTGTGTACGTATATGCATATGTGTAGGTATAGAGTGTGTAGCGCGGGGTGTGGTGGGGGAGTGGGTGTGAAGAGGTATGTGCAGTGCTGTGGAATGTGGAGGGACTGTGTGTGTGTAGGTGTGGGGTGAGGTGGTATAGTTAGGGTGCAGGGGGATGGGGGTGGTGTCGGGGTTTGAGAGCAAGGAGGTCAGAGTGTTGCTCTCTCCCCTCACAGCACCCTTCCTGATCAGAGCGCTCCCGTTGCGTCAACGCACAGTGTTAGCAGTGCCGTCACCCCTGAGCGAATCCGCTTCCCCAGAGGAACTGCCAGCCGCAGCACTTTCCATGGGCAGCCCCGGGAACGGCGGACAGCCACGTATAACGGCCCACCTGCATCACCCAGCCTGTCCCACGAAGCCACACCCCTGTCCCAGACTCGAAGCCGGGGCTCCACGAACCTTTTTAGTAAATTAACTTCAAAACTCACACGGAGGTAAGTGCTAGAGTGAACACTCAGCCGAAACACTCACAGATGAGCTCTGGCCTCATCTGTGCTGCTCAATAGTACTTCCTAACGTGTTGTTCCTCTAAAATGTCACACTTCACACAACTGAGAGTAGAAATGGCAGAAAAGAGTCCAGGTCTCCTCAGAACACTTGAAAGGCTTTGTGGGTGTTCATTCTTTATTACTTTTGAGCTCACCCCTGTCCCAATGTGTCCTCACAGCAGGGTGGTGACCCCATTGGAGGAAGGCTAGGAGGGGATAAAGCTGTGCCTAGTGTCACTGTCAGCCAGAGCCCAAGATCAGGCAGTTTCCTTGGTTGGGTTCCCTCAGTCATGTTGGGAGCACAGCCACTTGTAAGTAGGATTTATTGCCGTAGTCTAGTCTGGAGGCTACAAAGGTCTAGAAATACTGACTTTTTGAAGAAAGAAAGATGCCACTCTACCCACAGACATGTAGTGAGAGGCCCCTGAGGAACTTCTCTGAAGTTCTATGTCACTGGGGTGGTCTGAAGTGGGCCTGTCCCCAACTTTTTGTCCATCCTCCCTAGTCGTCTGCAGAGCAGCCATGGACAGCCACTTACATACCCTGCAGCCTCCTCCTGCTACTTCAGGTTGGACCATCGGGCCACCTTAGGTTGTCCTTCCCCAGATGGTCTACTTCACGTTGGACCATTGGGCCACCTTAGATTGTCCTTCCCCAGATGGTCTACTTCACGTTGGACCATTGGGCCACCTTAGGTTGTCCTTCCCCAGATGGTCTACTTCACGTTGGACCATTGGGCCACCTTAGGTTGTCCTTCCCCAGATGGTCTACTTCACGTTGGACCATCAGGCCACCTTAGATTGTCCTTCTCCAGATGGTCTACTTCAGGTTGGACCATTGGGCCACCTTAGGTTGTCCTTCCCCAGATGGTCTACTTTGCTAGGACTTCAACTCCCAAATTGTTAGGGAGGACTCCACATGCCCATTAGCAGTAAAGGGAGACCGGAGGGGCAACGAGGTACCCTCTTATTCTCGCCTCAGCCCCTCATTCCAAACTGGGCAGGTGAGCAGCAAGGCTAAAGGGCCCAGACTCTGTCCCAGCCTCCCTGTCCCCAGCTCCTTCCTTGGGCACAAGGCTGACATGAAATCTGCCTGTGAGACTTGGGTGGGAGACGATGACTCTCCAAGTGAGCCCTCCTTTCTCTCTGAGTCTCAGTTGTCGCCTGTCCCTGCGCACAGCTCTGCATTTAAATTCTAGAAGTTATTTAATTGTCTCCATTGTGCTCGAGTTCAGTCATCTTAGTATAGTCTCCACAATGGACCGTGTGGAGTAAATAATCCCCCCCATTCTTCACATGAAGAAACTAAAGACAAAATACAGAGATTGTACAGCAAAAACATGTCTGAGCTGGTTGGCCTGTTGAAGAGGCTGTGAGGACCCGTACTGCAACAGGCTTCCCCTCCCCCCAGGGCCCACATGTGTCCCTCACTTCCTGACTTGGTAGAGACAGATTTCTCTTGCTACACAATCTCATTGTATTGTCTGTCTCCAGGCACTATGGTGCCCCGGGTGGTTGCAGGAGGGTGTCTCTGCCAGCTGCAGGCTGAGCACTGTGGCTCTCCTCGGGTGACTAGCTCCTGCCCTGCCTGGAGCATTCGTTCTAGGAGTGCTGAAGGGAGACATGCTGTGACTTGATGTGGGAGAGACCCACCCCCACAGGTAGATTGGGGGTGTGCTGACACCTCAGCTCAGAGAGGCCCTGGGAGGAGAAGTGGGGGGAGGCTGTCCTCCAGGACTGGCTCCGAGCCTGCCTTTCCCCAGAGCAGCAAGTGAAGTCAGAATTTGTGTGTGCCGGCAGCTAGGTGCTCAAGCCCAGTGCAAAGGAACTGTAGCAGACAGGCCTGGCCCTCAGCACTCAGTCCGTATCTGAAGTCACACCCTGACAAGCCTTAGAGAGCAGTTCCCTTCTGCACCAAGTCTTTCAGCGGATAATGTACTGAGGGCCTACGTGTTCGACACCAGAGCTGTTTTTCAGGGTCCCAGAGGTGAGCCCGCCCAGGAAAGCAGACCTCATGGTCAGATTCGTCAGCACAGCCAAGCTCCCCCTTCAATACCTTCAATGAGCAGAGTCACCTCATTTAATTATAATGAGTCCAGTTGCTTTATAGCATACAAATAAAACCCACGTTTCTCTTGTCTCATAACGGTTAAACATTTTATATGAGATTTTTAATATTTCTGTATAAGGTGGTACGGTTTTTGTCCATGAGATATTCTGAAGAAATGTTATGTTACTTCTTGTTGTTAAGTGCCATCAAGTTGGTTCTGACTCACAGCAACTTCATAGGACTTCTGAGACTGGCAAATCTTTGCAGGAGTAGAAAGCTTCATCCTCTCCTATGGAGCAGCTGATGGGCTTGAACTGCCTGTGGTTTACAATCCAGTAGTGCTCATTCTACAGAGCCACTGTACTCCCATTTTATCACTGGAGCACTGCAGATAACGCTGAACTTCATTGAATTCTGTTACTAAAAGTGTGTCTAATTCTAGGTCCCTGTGGCACCATGGTTATGCAGTCACCTATTGACTGTCAGCAGTTCAAATCCACCAGCCTCTCCTCTGGAGCAAAGACCTGGCAGTGTGCCCCCATAAATTACAGCCTTGGAAACCCACTGGGGCCGTCTTACCCTGCCCCGTGTGAGTCACTGTGACTTGCAGCTGACTCAGCAGCAACAGGGCTGGGGGTTTGCTTTATACAGGAGAACTAGGAGACTTTCTGCTCCTTCAAAGATTTCTATTTTAAATCTCAGAAACCGTATACAAGGTTACTGTGAGTCGGAACCAGCTCGACAGCACTGAACAGCATTCTAGTTCTGAAGCTAACGTCAGTTGTTACTGCTCAATGTTTTCTCACACAAGTCCAGGTGCTCACATTTCTCCTGTTTCCTTACCTAATTGTCCCACTTTTCAGGGAGTGTCCCCCGTGGTTGGAATGTCCGTGCTCACTGACCAGAGTATGAGCTCTGTTCTTTGTTGTTTTCTTTATGTCTGTAATTGGCTATAATTTCTGTTTAATTTGTGCAAGTCATTTTTTGTTAATTTTTTTTTTTTTTGGCTTAATTTCTTTTAGAAACATGTCATTCAGGTTTATCAAAAGGTAGGATCTATACACGTGCACATTGTGGTCTCCATCCCTCACCCCCAAATGGCTCCTGCATTAACATCAGGTTTGGCTTTTCTAGCCCTGTTTCATATTTTCCTTAAAAACTAAACTTTTCTGCTAAGAACTAAATACTTATTTCTTTGCAAGGCCACTGTGGAGAGCAATGCATTAGCTCTATCAGGCGTGTAGAGGGACGGTGGCCGTGGGGCCCGGCCTGCGCATGCTCTGTGCATTCCCTCTCGGTAGAACGGGTTAGCATCGCAGTCACTCTGTCTCCATACTAATGATACTTGGCATGCTCCTGTTTGAAGACCGGGCTGTTCACTAACCTTATATATAGTGAATGCCCTGCCACAAGCTGAGAAGGTAAGTGGTCCCTGCCCTCATCACTCACTTCACTGCGCACTGAACTGGCAACGGGCTTTCAAATGGCAGGATCGTTCAAAACTGAGGCAAGCCAGAAAGTTAAACCTCTGGCCTCACTTGGGCTAGTGTTTTCATTAACTGAGATAGGGGCCGCTGCTGGTAGCAGGAATGCTTTCATCTTTGATGAGGCTCAAATAGTAAATAACTGGTACAAGTACCCTGTCTGAGAGTCACTGTCACCACCCAACGGAGAGAGTGGACCATGTCATTTCTACCCTAGCTATTACAACCAACAGTATGCTGAAGAGATGACTTGCTGGTGATAACAGTCAAGGGACCGCAAACACTGTTCTGTCCTGAAATTCCCCTGATGAGGGAGAAAACCACGTGGTCCCATGCCTTGCCCCCCTGTCCTCTGAGGGCAGGCCGGCATATCTAACTTGTGTGTGGAACCAGAGTTCACAAGGACACATTTCTAATGGCACTTATTTGTTGGAATTCTGGGGATGGCCCCCCTCCTTGTAACATACTTCCCTCCCTGCTTTGTTGTCAAATTTCTCCTGGGACAGAACATAGAATTCAACCGCCCATTTCTTTCTTTTTAATCATAAACCTATCTCACAGTGAAAATAGTCCAGGCAACTACCTACAGCCTCAGCCACGAATGTGCTCAGGACGAGTGGTGGGCTGGTGGCGGGCAGGTGAAGCCAAACAGAGCGAGAAGCCGGAGTCAGTCACCTGTGACCAACAGGCGCTTTCAAGTGTGCTGATTGTATGATTTTTGTGTGTTTATATGTGGCTAGTTGTGAACGTGTATGTAAGATTTCTTTTCTCTTTTCCACTTCTACATTCTTTTCATTGAGGCTTCCAACTGAATATGAGAGGAACGGGAGATATGAGGGCTCAAGGTGAGGGAAATGATTTTTATTTAAACTTATAAAGTGTTGACCCTTGGGTCCGGGTCAGGCAGCAGGGATTTTGGACTGTGCGGGCTTACTCTGAGGGTGGGCTGCCCCTGGTTGGCCACACGAGGGTGCTCACAGCCTGGAACCAGGTTTCTGAGCCTCACCACCAATTCCCAGCATGGCTTTGTCTTCAAGGAGAAAAGCAAAAGGCTAGGACAGGTTTCGTCGTATTTTAAATTAAATGTGTTTTTGAGTGGAGATGATACAGTGGAGTGTTGGGTTGGATTTGGGGGATCTCCATAGGATTAGGTCGGGTCCTTTTGTGCCCCTCCCACACCAAACTGCTACCTGTGTGTACTCTCCCCAGTCGTCTAATGCACAGCTCTACTCAAACGGCTCCTCTGAGCCCCCGGCAATCTCACCTGTGCCAGACACCGCCCCTAGCCCTATAACATAAGTGTAGGGCAGCCTCCTGATTCTTTGAGGATCAGGATGGATGAGAACAGTAAGTGCCTGGTGCCCTGGCACTAAGACCAGCCAGGCCTACTGCTTTCTTCCCATCCCCATCACAGGCTGGTAATCACCTGGGTTCCCCAAAGCCTGACTCCAGTACCACACTGCCAACAAGTCATTTTCTCTGCCCTATGCCTGCCCCTCCCTGGTGGGCTTTCCTGAGCAACCACGTCTCTGTGTAAGACAAACCGCCCGAGCCCATGCTGAGTGCATTTACCCATTTCTGTAACCTTACACAGCACTTTATCCATAGGAAGCTTCTGATCAGATCTAGTGGGTGGGCGGGTGGGAGCAAGTGAAACAGCTCGAGTATTCCTCTAGCAGCTGGGACTGAATAAAAGCTGTGGCCCATCCTCAGCTTAGCCTTGGTGTGGAGGATCCAGTATGTTCATCATAGGCATCATGATGTGTGTGGTGCACAGGCATGCTGGGGACACCGGTACTCAGACACACACACACACCATGATGATGGCTACATCCTAGGGACACAGGCACCCAGACACACACACACACAC